AATCCAGCCATCGCCATGTCTCTGTAACCTTGTCCACTTCCTGACATGTTTGTTTGTTGTTTATGTCGCCGGGCTGATGATGACCAGTCAATCTGGTGATTGATATTGTGAGCAACGGGCCACGACGTCGGGGTAGATGACACCCCATCATCGAAATCTCCGAACTTGACAACGACAGCATAGGTTACTGAGGCCAGAATCCCAGCCAGAGGTGAGCGTTTGGAGGGTTGTTGTACGTGCCGATACTTCACGCAGTCAAACCTGTCTTGTTGTTTTGTTTCAGTTCCCGCTCTGTCGTTTGTGTCCTGGTTTCCTTGCTTGTATGTACACCTATCAAACAGCATCTTATATATCACTTCGCTCCACTATCTCCATACGATCTCGTTGAACAAGTACATATCACAGACATACAGACATATCATAGACATATCACAGACATATCATAGACATATCATAGACATATCATAGACATCATCATAGACACATCACAGACATATCATAGACATATCACAGACATACAGACATATCATAGACATATCACAGACATATCATAGACATATCACAGACATATCACAGACATATCATAGACATATCATAGACAAATCACAGAAATATCATAGACATATCATAGACATATCATAGACATATCACAGACATATCACAGACATATCACAGACATATCATAGACATATCACAGACATATTATAGACATATCACAGACATATTATAGACATATCACAGACATATCATAGACATATTATAGACACATCACAGACATATCACAGACATACAGACATATCACAGACATACAGACATATCATAGACATATCACAGACATATCATAGACATATCACAGACATATCATAGACATATCATAGACATATCATAGACATATCACAGACATATCATAGACATATCACAGAAATATCATAGACATATTATAGACATATCATAAACATATCATAGACATATCATAGACATATGACAGACATATCATAGACATATCACAGACATATTATAGACATATCACAGACATATCATAGACACATCACAGACATATCATAGACACATCACAGACATATCATAGACATATCACAGACATATCATAGACATATCACAGACATATCATAGACACACCACAGACATATCACAGACATACAGACATATCACAGACATACAGACATATCATAGACATATCACAGACATATCATAGACATATCACAGACATATCATAGACATATCATAGACATATCACAGACATACAGATATATCATAGACATATCACAGACATATCATAGACATATCACAGACATAAAGACATATCATAGACATATCACAGACATATCATAGACATATCACAGACATATCACAGACATATCACAGACATATCATAGACAAATCACAGACATATCATAGACATATCACAGACATATCACAGACATATCATAGACATATCATAGACATATGATAAACATATCATAGACATATCATAGACATATCACAGACATATCATAGACATATCATAGACATATCAGAGACATAAACAGTTTGGATGTGCAGTTCAATAATATACAACTTTTAAATAATGTGCATATACATCAATCCAGGTTAAAAACAGTCACGTCACTCAATGATACACCCACGTCACTCAGTGATACAGTCACATCACTCAGTGATACAGTCACGTCACTCAATGGTACAGACACGTCACTCAGTGATACAATCACGTCACTCAGTGGTACAGTCACGTCACTCAGTGATGCAGTCACGTCACTCAATGGTACAGTCACGTCACTCAATGGTACAATCACGTCACTCAATGATACACCCACGTTACTCAATGGTACAGTCACTTCATTCAATGGTAAAGTCACGTAACTCAGTGATACAGTCACATCACCCAATGATAAAGTCACATCACTCAATGGTACAGTCACGTCACTCAATAGTACAGTCACTTCACTCAATGGTACAGTCACTTCATTCAATGGTACAGTCACGTCACTTAATGGTACAGTCACTTCATTCAATGATACACCCACGTCACTCAATGATACACCCACGTCACTCAATGGTACAGTCACGTCACTCAGTGATACAGTCATATCACTCAATGGTACAGTCACGTCACTCAATGGTACAGTCACTTCATTCAATGATACACCCACGTAACTCAATGGTACAGTCACGTCACTCAGTGATACAGTCACATCACTCAGTAATACAGTCACATCACTCGATGGTACAGTCACGTCACTCAATAGTACAGTCACGTTACTCAATGGTACAGTCACATCATTAAATGATACAGTCACGTCACTCAATGGTACAGTCACGTCACTCAATGGTACAGTCACGTCACTCAATGGTACAGTCACGTCACTCAATGGTACAGTCACTTCATTCAACGGTACAGTCACGTCACTCAATGGTACAGTCACGTCACTCAATGGTACAGTCACTTCATTCAATGGTACAGTCACGTCACTCAATGATACAGTCACTTCATTCAATGATACAGTCACGTCAGTCAATGATACAGTCACGTCACTCAGTGATACACCCAAGTCACTCAGTAGTACAGTCACTTTATTCAATGATACAGTCACATCACTCAATGGTACAGTCACGTCACTCAATGGTTCAGTCACTTCATTCAATGATACATTCAATTCACTCAATGGTACAGTCAATTCATTCAATGGTACAGTTACGCCACTCAATGATACAGTCACGTCACTCAATGATACAATCACATCACTCAATGATACAGTCACGTCACTCAATGATACAGTCACGTCACTCAATGGTTCAGTCACGTCATTTAATGATACACCCACGTCACTCAATGGTACAGTCTCAACACTCAATGATACAGTCACGTCACTCAATGGTACAGTCACGTCACTCAATGATACAGTCACATAACTCAATGATACAGTCACTTCATTCTGTGATACAGTCACTTCCTTCAATGATACAGTCACATCACTCAATGATACAGTCACGTCACTCAATGGTACAATCACGTCATTCAATGATACAGTCACGTCACTCAATGGTACAGTCACGTCACTCAGTGATACAGTCACATCACTCAATGGTACAGTCACATCACTCAATGATACACAGTCACGTCACTCAATGATACAGTCACATCACTCAATGGTACACTCACTTCACTCAATGATACAGTCACGTTTTTCAATGATACAGTCATGTCATTTACTTGTACAGTCACGTCACTCAGTGATACAGTCACGTCACTCAGTGGTACAGTCACGTCACTCAATGATACAGTCACTTCATTCAATGGTACAGTCACGTCACTCAATGGTACAGTCACTTCACTCAATGATACAGTCACGTATTTCAATGATACAATCACGTCATTTAATGGTACAGTCATTTCATTCAATGGTACAGTCACTTCACTCAATGATACAGTCACGTCACTCAATGATACAGTCACGTCACTCAATGGTACAGTCACTTCACTCAATGGTACAGTCACTTCATTCAATGATACATCCATGTCACTCAATGGTACAGTCAATTCACTCAATGATACAGTCACGTATTTCAATGATACAGTCACGTCATTTAATGGTACAGTCACTTCATTCAATGGTACAGTCTCGTCACTGAATGGTACAGTCACTGAATGGTACAGTCACTTCACTCAATGATACAGTCACGTCAATCAATGATACAGTCACTTCATTCAATAGTACAGTCGCGTCACTCAATGGTACAGTCACGTCACTCAATGATACAGTCACTTCATTCTGTGATACTGTCACGTCACTCGATGATACAGTCACGTCACTCAATGGTACAGTCACGTCACTCAATGATACAGTCACTTCATTCAGCGGTCACGTAACTCAGTGATACAGTCACGTCACTCAGTGATACAGTCACGTCACTCAGTGATACAGTCACGTCACTCAGTGATACAGTCACGTCACTCAATGATACAGTCACGTCACTCAGTGATACAGTCACATCACTCAATGGTACAGTCACATCACTCAATGGTACAGTCACGTCACTCAATGATACAGTCACTTCATTCAGTGGTACAGTCACAATTTTCAATGATACAGTCACAATTTTCAATGATACAGTCACGTCTTTCAATGATACAGTCACGTCGTTCAATGATACAGTCACATCACTCAATGATACGGTCGCGTCACTCAGTGATACAGTCACGTCTCTCAGTGATACAGTCACGTCACTCAGTGATACAGTCACAGTCACGTCACTCAGTGATACAGTCACGTCACTCAGTGATACACAGAGATACAGTCACGTCACTCAATGATACAGTCACGTCACTCAGTGATACAGTCACGTCACTCAGTGATACAGTCACGTCACTCAATGGTACAGTCACACCACTCCATGAAGGTGCAAGGATCTGACATAAAGGGGCCATGTTTCCACCTCTCGGTGGGCGTGGTGGTCAACGGTCATGCGGCATCATGTTATGCTTGGATTACTGTATGATCTCTAGCTGTGACTAGAACAACGTAACCCAAACTACCTATAGTAGGACAACGTGGCTTATCTACCTGGCGGATGGCCGTACACGACTGGTGATATAATCCTTCTGCAAATATTGAAATATTGTAAATGCTTACTTTCAAAGGTAAATGCATCTCTATTAGTCCGTTGTTCTCTGTGATTCATTACCACTAGTGATATACGTTCCTATGTAATATCTGTACTTCTTACGGACAGTCTCACCAGGCCATACAGCACTTCTTGCTGTACCAAACAGTCTAGAACTTTCCTCCTGAGATGCAATGCCATCGTGACAACATCACGTTTCTTCGTTTGTCAGCACAATACCTGGTCTCATCTGTTATCAGTGAAGCGCAAGTTTCGGATCTGCGTCAGTATGGTCACACACATTCTGCTGCCACGCTCTGGGACGGCGGGGTAGCCCAGTGGTTAGAGCATCACGTTGAAGACCGAGTTCGGTTCCCCACATGGCTACAATGTGTGAAGCCTATTTTTAGTGTCCCCGGCGTGATATTGCTGGAATGTTGCTAAAAGCGGCGTAAAACATATTAATATAACCCCCTTACTATTGAAGGTGATGGCCCAGGTCACTATTATATTACATTATTTCACTGTTTCCTCCAGGTATGTAAGCTATACATGTGACATTGTGACGTCACATTCACAACATGGCGCCGTCAATCATCTGTCTGGTGTTCAGCTTGTTTGTCATCACAGAGACGACCGATATCTGTAAGTAAAGCATTCACTATCAATGAAGACAACATACTGAATTAGTTCATTCCAATTGACAAACGAATGTTTCTGCGTTCACATAGAATATACTGACTCCGAACTGACTAATCCTTGTTTGATCTTCCTAAAGCCAGCCAGGGTAACAACATGTAGCATCTTTTATCGTATTTCTGTTTGATGCAGCCATGGGATTAAAACCCCGACCTGCTGTTGTCCGGGAACGGGTTCCAGCCACTTAGGCCGCTGAGGTTATTGTAGCAGAGTTTATTTAAAGAAGAAGTAGCACTTTTCTTCCGTTATCTCGTCCCCAAACAGTTTCAGTTCAAAGTTCCATTTTTATTTCAGCTGGGTCAGTTCCCAATATGACCGTAGATGACGTCACAATGTCTCCCGATGGCTTTTATTACATGCTAGTTGGTAGGACAGTGAACCTTACGTGCTGGGTGACGTCATCAACGTCTAATTCAAGCAGCCTCGTTATCGCATTGAACGACAGTCTACGTGACGACGTCATTACGCCCGATGACGCTACAGCACAGGTCACCGTAACCAATATGGCGGCGGGGACATTTTTCTATCGATGTTGTGTGAGCAGCTGTCCAGCCATGTCCGAGCTGAATCCATCTGATCCAAATATATCCGCGGTCACTCTCAAATATGGTGGTACGTCTCAATGATCCAATAAATCCTTACGTTGTATGTTGTTGACTGTCTAGCTTAAATTCAAGCGTCAAGTTGACGGGAATAGCATTGAAACGAGCCAGTTAGATGGTCGGCTTTGTATACTGGCAATGTGCCTGGCTCTGAGAGTGAAAATTCGAATCCAGGATGGGACTCAACCTTTGCCAAAAAGGTATAAGAATTTGTGCTTTACGGAACAAAAATGAAATCTCATATAAATCATGCTGAATTTGACCACGTTGTGAATGGCTTTCTGGATGTATTACAAATTGTCTGTATGCATGAGTATTAAATTACTTGAATTAACCATTCATCCTCTGTAAAGAATAGAGTAAAGAAGAGATGAAAAGTTTTTAGTTAAATAACGTATACCAAAAGCAAATCATTATTTCTAGTCTGCAATTTTTTAGTAATGTTCCTCCAAATTGAATTTGGATTTTGTACGTCTGTGGAGGAAGTTGAAACCCAAATGGTTCATAAACATCATAAGAGAATCTGCTACAAGCATGAGATTAAAACAATCTTTACATCTACGTACATCGTAAGCTGATAATTCTACATCACTGACAAAGTACAAAGAGAACAAAGCTAGTGAAAGTATTGGATCTTGCCTCACACCAACTAAACATGTCAAGTATTAACAAATACATGAAGCAGCAGTAGCTGTTTTATTTCCACCAGATATAGATCTAAGTATTTGAATAGTACAGTTAGTATGAACACCTCACGTTTGTGTGTGTGCGCGTGTGTGTTGGGCGGGGGAGGGGGGTGGGGGTGGTAGTGATGGAGGTTAAGAGCGGCTGAAGGTTGACGGGTGTCAGTGTGATGCTTGTACTACTTGTAGTGAGAGATGGGGATATGAGGGGTTAGTACTCACGGAGAAGATAACGGGAGATGTTACCTCAGGTGGAGATGGTAGCCAGCAGGGACAGAGAGGGCGTGACGGCTATGAGATTATGGAGGAAATAAATATGACGAATCGCTGTGGTGGCATTACCATGACGACAGCAGTCGCCAGGGAACAGTTATATCAAAGTCATTGACATGCCACTGATGTATTGCTTATTATCTTGACCAGTCAGTTTCTCCATATTAAGACACTTCGTTCTCTGAAGCAAGGGTCACTGGACTGCAGTTGGTGTCCAGAGTTGTCTCCCTTAGGCGTACCAGGGCCATACAACGCACTTGATTTATATTTCCGTGTGTGTCAACACCATTCCTATCTCAGTGGGTTTCACCAAAGAGGTAAACGTCTGAGACTATGAATGTAACTGAAATACTCACTCACTCACACACTCACTCACTCACTCCTTTAAAATATAACTGCCTTTATTCCGCGTACAGACCCTCCTCCACTGGTTAGCAACGTCACCTGCGCCTCCCTCGACTTCATCAACCTCGACTGTTCCTTGACCATCAGCGGCGCGGGACAGGATGTTGCCTGGATTCTCTCATACTGCATTAAGGAGTAGGTACTTATAGTTGAATGATAGATGGATGCCCCTCAAGGACTTCAATAGATGACCCCTTGTCAGTGTTTAATGCCTCAACAATGTGAGAATCCTTTTTATTATTACTCCCCATTTATGAAACAAATATATTTTAGCAGAGATACGTTTACTTTAGCCGGCTGAAGAACAATCCGTAGTATTTGGGGGCGAAATTCATTCGTCTTTGATTAGGTTCAATTTACCTTTTCAGGAACAATATATGAATGCTGTGTTGAAGAACGTGTTGGGATAACTTCTATGACAATGACTGATGTTATGGCGTGTAATTTTATGTTATAACTTCATAACCTTATTCCTTCCACAGGAGCCTGTAGTTCGGATTAAAATCGACATGACTGCATGTTTGTATGACTTTCACGGGAGATGAATGTTGAGTCGGAAACGTTCTCTCGGTACTTTCATCTGTCGTATTTCAGTGATACAGAATATGACTTTGCAGCCTCTACAGTGGATTCTGCATTGTGTTTTGTGCTATGTTCATACAGTAAAGAAGTGGGATTCGATCTCTGTAAGCAGGTCTAGCATCTCAGATGTATCTATGAGAAACCTGCACTCTTTCTGTGAACGTTGGCGTTCAATCGTTTGTTCCGTTCTTGCTCGGTTTGGGTTCCGGTCTACAAAGGGTTCGTTACCTTACTACATATCGTAACTCCATACTTTATCATCGGCTTACGAATTGCATACTGCTACGAACGTTTTCATCGGCTCCGATCCACAAAGCATTCGTATAGTTTATCATATACTTACGAATGTCGTAGTGCTAGGAATCGATACTCTGGAATCGCTACTTGCCTACAGTCCATTCTTGTTTGTCCTCCAGTAACTTTAGTGACGGAATGCCACGCAAACCTCACCAGGGACTGATATTTCCTTTCAGTTATATACCAACAGACGACCCGTTGGCGTGTCCTGGTGACATCACCAGCAGGACTAAGTGTGACCCGTCCCCCCAGTGGCCACCCCCGGGCAAGGGTGTGATGCTGTTTCACTGCGCGGAGGAGGTGCTGGAATACCAGGTGTACAGGATATATGTGGACGGTGACAGCCACTTCGGGAGGACTTCTTATCTGACAGAGGTTTACACGGGGCCCAGTATAGGTCAGTTGACATGTGAGGTGAGGTGAAATTGGGTTTAACGTCGTGCTTGAGAATATTTCGCTCATATGACGACGTGCGTGCGCGTGTATGTGTAGGTCGGCTGCTTGTACTAGCCCAGACTTAAGCTGGTTTTATAGTGCTAGCCCACTAGGATACCATGCCGCAGTGAAGCATGAATACCCCACTCAGACACATTATACTGACTCCGAGCCGACCAGTCCTTGTACTCATTAATGCCGAGCGCCAGGCAGGGACCAACAAGTACCATATTTTAACGTCTTTTGGTATGACGGTCGGGGATCGCACCCGCGACCTTCCGCTCTCCGGGAGGACGCTCTAACCACTACACCACGGAGGCGGTTCAGTTGACATGTACTCGGGTGAGATCGTGTACCTGGTTACTGTGATTTTGTTGAAACATAATAAATGAAAGCTATTTTGTGTTTCTGTTTATGGCGCTGAAGATAGGTTGAGGTGGCATTTTTGTTGTTGTTGTAGTTGTCTTTGTTTTTATTTATTGGTTTTCAAATCTTTATGAATGAATTTATATATAATTGACCTATAAATTTCCGATCTCACAATTTTGTGAAATTTCTGGTTGTTTACAATAATGATCAGCAGTGTATGTAAATATTTAACTGTTTTTCGTTTCTTGTCCGAACTGCAGGAAGGGTTGATCAGTCTTCATAACGTGTGCATCACTAACAGCTTGTGAAGCTGGCTATTTCTGCTTAGTGTATTGTCATTCAAACGAAAGCCACGCCTCAAATTGTATTTCCCTATAAAACAAAATAGATCAAATGTTTGGGGTTTTTGTCTGTGTCCCTTAACAATCGTGGAGAGAGTGCTTATTCTTAGCATATTTTTTGTCTGACAGCAATCCATATCTGAAATGTTGCTCAACTAAGGTATCTGGTGCATGTTAACAGTGCAATACAGTGCTGTGAGGGGGCTCCGGGTCGGCCCAAACGTCACGTCAACCAGTATTACACTCTTGTGGGACAACCCAGTACGCATCTTCGGGGCTCAGCCAATGTACAGTGTGGTGGTCACACAGAGCGAGATGGGATACCATGAGGTAGGTTACATCTTACATTGTAATATACGGATTGTGATGGTCACCCAGATTGAGATGGGATACCATGTGGTAGGTTACATCTTACATTGTGATATACAGTGTGGTGGTCACACAGAGCGAGATGGGATACCATGAGGTAGGTTACATCTTACATTGTAACATATACAGTGTGGTGGTCACCCAGAGCGAGTTACCATGATATAGATTACGTCTTACAAAGAAACATACAGTGCTCATTACCGAACACAAGCTTCCGGGACAAGCTTCTTACGGAAGGTTACGGAAAGGGGCGAGTTATGACGGATGCCCACGTATCTATAGAATCATACACCCTGGAATTCACAAGCATACACTGATTTACGTCTGAATCGGTTTCAGTATCACAAATATTTTCTGTAGATGTAGCAGGGCATGGAGGCGCCCCAAAGATGATGTCCTTACATGGTCATGTTGACCAGACGCCAACTTCGGATGACGAGACTCGAACATTTTATGGCCGATTCACACGTTATAGATTCTGTGAGTAATTGGGTCATTCTAACCTTCCAAGGATTTTGAAAGCAAAGTGAGCAGCTACAAGGTACCCAGTTTGAGACCGGCAACGACATACCTTGCTGAACTTCGGGCTAAACCAAGATCGAGTCCCTACTGGAACAAGCCAACGTACATCAACATAACTACCCTGGACGCAGGTAAACGCTAATACACGCGGTGAATCGTGACACGGAAACTAGATGAATCTAGATGAGTAGGGTGTAGCCCATGGATGTAGATCCTGATTGATGAATGCAATAGCTCTTACGTTGATGAGAAAAACGCCTGACACAAATGGTCCAGATTACGAGGTGTCCGGCCGAAAGAGGTCTGGAGTAATGACATTTTGCTGCTCTGAGTAATCAAAGACAATGTCTGATCTGAACCAAGTACTCATTTTTATTTGGATGAACGGTAGCTGTCACTCTTACCACTTTTCTTTACTGTTTAGCACCCGGTGTCCCGCCAGGGCTCAAGCCAGGAATGTATACACGTTGGGAAGACGGTGTTCATGTGATGGTGTTCTGGCAAGTGAGTGAGTTTGGTTTTACGCCGCTGTGAACAGTGAGTAAGTGTTGTAAGTGTGTCGATCGTCATCTTAAGTGATATTGATTAATATTAGTGTAGGACCAGTGATGTCCAGTGCCCATGTGTGTGTTGTATTTCATAAACTCAGTGTGTATGATTGTAGCAATATTCCAGCAATATCACGATCTTCTCACAGTATACCCATACGGGGAATCGAACCCGGGTCTGCGGCGTAACTAGCGAATACTTTAACCACTTGGCTACCCAATTCGCATTTCAAGACTTTATTTATCCAGGCCACGTAACACATCTCGATGCACCCGTAAAGATCCGGGTTAGAATTGGTCTTCAGCAACTCATGCTTGTCGTAAGAGGCGACTAACGGGATCGGGTGGTCAGGCTCGTTGACTAGGTTGACTCATAGTATCCCAATTGTGTAGATCGATGCTTACGATGTTAATCACTTTATTGTTTGGCCCAGACTCGATAATTTACAGATGGAATATTGCTGAGTGCGGCGTTAAACAACAAAGAAACAACCATACCATTCGACGATAGACTATTGTTTCCTCAAAGGAAATCTTATTTGTCTTCATGTACTTTCCCCAGGCGGTGCCTCGAGCTCTCCGCAATGGTAAAATCACTCACCATCGAGTGTGTCTGGATCTCCCCAACAACGTCTCCCTGTTCTGCAACACGTTAATTCCTGGAGATCAGTTCCACTACCTCCTGGTTCTCCCAGAAGGTGCCGGAAACTGCACGGTCACAGTCCAAGCAGGGACACGAGCTGCCCTGTCAAAGAAAAGTAGCCTCCGAATACCAAACATTGGACAAGGTAAATTCCAGAAAGAGAAACCTGGTACATGAGATGGTCGGTCTTTTAGTATCATTTCTATATTAATATCCTCTTGGCTAGTGACATAAACAGTCACGTTCCACCATCACGATCTGAACTCACCCCGTCTCAATACTATTGCAGCCCCTCAACGTCCGCTGTACGTGACTGTCGAACAACAGGACGATTCAAGCTACAACGTCAGTTGGGTGTTAGCCAATCATAACGTCAGATTGGATCACGTGTATGTCACCTGGTGTCAAGCTTTTCGTACCAGCGAAGAAGTAACTTGCATAGTAAGTAACTATGCTTCTAAGTTATTGTCCAAGCAACGTTCGTAGCGGTTTAGTCATCATAGACACCTTGATCGATGAAACACAAGTGCGCCCATCCCCGATTATCAAGTGTCAAGTTATTTTCAAACCCTGCTCTCAAATTATCTCTATGTATGAAACCTTTTAAAGACAGTGGGTCCAGGAATAGAATGAGTGAGTATGTTTTTACGCCGCTTTGAGCAATATTCCAGCAATATCACGCGGGGGACACCAGAAATAAGGAATAGAGATGTAACAGGGCGATTGAGAATTCCTTCCTAGCTTCGGGAGAAAGTTTACCTCATCCTGACCGCAGTTTTATGCTGATGCCAGCACAATTAAACGATATACGTGGCAGGAGAAAGAATTATTCTTCTAAGTTGGAATTAGATGATAATTATCAATAAAAGTGACAGTAAAGCCCAAACATGATCCCGGGTACATTGTTTGTGGCTAAAGCATCTGTATCGGTGACGCCATTTTCTTAATTTCCGGAGGCAAATGACTCTGAAGGACGGTACAGTGTCACACTGCCTGTTACCGGGCCATTCGTCACCACTCGGCCCTTTCCGTAACCAGCAACAGAGCTCTTCACGTTGTCCCGGAATACGCTCGGATCACGAATGTTACTTGGCATGAAGGAATGATAAAATGCCGGCCAATCCGCTAGATTAAGTATAGTAGCCATGTTAAACTGCGTCATTTCTATTTGGGATGTTTAGGAGAGCATATTAAAACATTCTCTCTCTCTCTCTCTCTCTCTCTCTCTCTCTCTCTCTCTCTCTCTCTCTCTCTCTCTCAATTTGTATTTGTATCGCCCCACTCACCCCTAGTGCCTTTGCGGCAGAATGACGTTCACTCAGTAGAGATAGACGGCAGTGCAACTTCCTACACTGTAACACTCGCCATGGATCCTGGTCTGAGAAAGGGGGCGTGGTTTGGCGTGGCTACAAGCGCGGATGACGTCAGTGATGGAACAACATGGAATCAGTGCATCTTTGTCAAATATGGAGGTAAGTGCCTTGCCTTACCGAGCTTCCACTCTTTCACGTATGTCACGATTAATTCAGGATCAACAGGCGTGCACTCTTATAATCTTTCACACTTCGGAACTAAGTCAGCACGTCAAAGGTCAAAATAGAAAAAATGTCTCTTCTGTCAAAAGCAAAATCGGATACAGACAGCTGAAGACGCCAGTTGTAGGGTAACTGTGAAAATCTGCATGATATGTTTCAGCGATGGGTAGTCCACCTGCAATGAACGTGTTGTCAAACGAACGTACAGCATGGCTGCCCCTAGGGTTTAGTTACTGCGACGTGTCTCTGAACAAAGGACGACCTTACGTCTACGAAGTCTCCTACCAGTCCACAAATACAACGTCATGCTCTGACGTCAACTGCACCGATGGTAAATACACTGTTTGTTGGTTGTTTAACGCCGCAATACTCCAGCTATATGGCGGCGGTCTGTATATAATTGAGTCTGGACCAGACAATCCAGTCATAAATAGCATCGATCCACGCAATTGGGATGTCAACCAAGTCAGCGAGCCTGACAACCTGATCCCATCAGTTGCCTCTTACAGTAAGTAAGTGAGTTTAGTTTTACGCCGCACTCAGCAATATTCCAGCTAAATGGCGGCCGTCTGTAAATAATCGAGTCTGGACCGGACAATCCAGCTATCAACACCATGAGCATCGATCTGCACAATTAGGATACAATCACATGTGTCAACCAAGTCAGTGAGCCTGACCACCCGATCCCGTTAGTCGCCTCTTAAGACAAGCATGGGTGGCTGAAGACTTACTTCTGACACGAATCATCACTTGTGGCGACCTAAAGAATCGGGTGGTCTAGTAAACGCTGTGTTGATGACGTGTCATCACAACATTACTCAGTTACTTACAGATATAAAGTTTGAGCGGGGTGAGAAGAAACAAATCAGACAAACAATGAATCTGATGTTGTAACTTGCAGGTTCGGTTATACAGGAGCCGGCTCAGTTTGACACAACCGTTGTCTTTCTAACTGGACTTAACCGTCCCGCTATGTACTGTGTCTGCCTGAGGGTGAGGAGTACTCTGAGGGTGGGGCCCTACAGCCACCCACCCAAGCTGCTAGATCTGTCAGGTGGGTGAGGGACTGGCGGAAGTCAGTGTCATACAGGAGATGGAAGCAGAACGATATGACGCCATGTTACGTATTAATACTGACGCACAAAAGAAAGTACACGCCTGGTGTTTTGAGATTATTTGAAAAGTGTTTTCATATTTACTGACAACGTCGCAATTGGGCACGCTATCTGTGGTGTTGTGGCAACATATTACCAATGACTGACTTATAAATCACTGTAAAACCCTTTTCAAAATATGTACCTTGTTTCTTGGAAAATAATTCAAAAGCACAGGCTTGTACTATGTTTATGTGCCAGTTTATAATGTAATGTTAACATGAAGTATCCAGTAAATCTTCACAATAGGAAATATCCTCTACATACATATATTTCGATCACGAATAGAGTTACAAAAGCTGTAAATCATCTTTCGTTTCAAAAGAAATGATGAAGTCTGTGTCACAGTCCCTAAAGCACATTATTTTCACTACTGCCTAGCCCTCCTTGCAATGCGAAATCTCTAAATGAAGTCTCGATTTCTTCAGGTTCTGAAGCTCCCATCTCACTGGGGCTCCTATTCAGTTTAATTGGGTTTATTTGTTACTATCAAAATTATATATCTTCAGAAACTAAGCATTAGTCTAGAGATAATGCTATTGTCAACAATCTGGTTCTGGATGTGCCCAAGGAGTCGCATCTCCCACGTACACTTCATCCACTACAATAAACAGCCTTAAAATATCTTCCGTATAAACGCTGCAATAGTCACGATCCAGTTGTAGGAGTCTCGATAGAGACTGACACTATCGTGAGTGTCCAAATAAAAGATAGGCAATGAATTCTTTATAAAGGGTAGCCCTTAGTTCTGTAGCACTAAAAACAGAATTTACATTTGAGCATTAACAATACACCTTAAGTCGTAAGATAGCTTAAACATTCATCAGGTGGAAGTTTGCAAAAGAATGTGTGTAAATGTGTGTGAAGGTGTCTATGTGAGTATATTTCGTTGTTACAGTCCTCACTGATGACCCGAAACCTGTGAACCTTGCTGCCATTGTGGGCGTGACATCGGGGCTGGTAACTATGGTGATCGTGGCAGTGTTGTGGTAAAACACATTTCTATTTGAATAATGTTTTGTTTCAATATATCAACAGTATCAGTGCTATTTTGTGTACAGTAAATCACAGAATGTGTTGTCAGTCAGTTATATACTTATTTTTCAATGTTTTTCCGTTTGTGAATTTTGAGTAAGTGAGTGACTTCACGGCTTATAAAATATCGAGGCAAGTCTCGGAATCGATTCTACGATTATAGGATTTGCTCGCTTGTGAGACACACCTCTGCATTTCGAATTGCTTCACTTAAATCTTAATAAATTTAAACATGTGAAGTGGTTCAGTGAATACTTTTCATAGAGCAGCATATAACGACTCATGGTTTATTCAATACTGTTGCAAGTATACCGAAAGACGTAACATAATACTATAGCTTGTGATAGTCACAAACTATGGTCTATTTTTAATACACACAGTCTTCATTAAAAATTGGTAAAACTATAGAAGGTATATATGAACATGTGCCTGTGTCCGTACAAATAACAGTGTTCTTACAGGTGTATTTGATTGTCCTGTCGGTGTTAGACAAGGATGTGTCTTACGGCCCTCTCTATGTGATAGAATAGAATGTATTTGGTAGAATTAGAAAATATAAGTGAAAATGTGAAAGCCTGTGTTCGTACAAATAACACTGTTCATTGTACAGTGTCCTGTTTGAGTTGGGCAAGGTTGTGTCATAATCCCTTATTTATGTAACATGATAGAATGTATTTGTAATATACTCCAGCGTTGTGTACCATCGCCGACGCCTAAACCCACTGAAGAAGATACAGATTGACCTCGGCATGTTCAGGGTACGACTGAAGTAACGTTTTAACTATGGACTGTTGGTTATGTCATACATTATTATTGCTGTTGTGAGACGTAACTGTGTAATCTACCAGCATATAAAGTGTTCCTTCCGACCCGAATTCAGAACATTAGATTTGAATTTTAATTGCATGATTTTTTTTAAATATAAAAACTATAAACATTGTGATTTTCGGATACATATATATTTGTCATTTCAATGATCTGAGCAGTTTATAACAGTGTACATGTGTTTGTTATTTCACGCCGCATCTAGCAGTTATAACGTAATCTGGCCCCGATAAACCAGTGATTGATATTGTAAGCAAATTCAAAAACTGTGAATGCCTGATGAATCTCCATCCACTAATTCACGGAGGTACATAGCCCAAACCATTGAACACCTCGCACACCAGTCACTGGATGTTCGGGACCAGTTGTGAGCTGGGATCCTCCGGGAGGTGCCTCATTGTATCAGAAAACACTGTAATAATCACATTACTCGAATCCGTCTGTGACGACATCGTAGAATACATTGTGACGTCATAGGAACTGTGTATATTGTTGTACAGTATAGTAAAACATGCTGTCATTAATACAGAGACGTGATTGATTTATTGTGTAAACAAAATAATGTTTTTAACTGAATATTTTATGAGCATTTTCAAGTGCATATATTTCGGATACATTGATTTATTCCCATAAGAGAAATGTGGGGCTTGTCGGAAAGTTTCTTCCTCGCTGAATTTGCTGTGTAGGTTTACAGATATATTGTTTAGTTAACATGGTCCTTATTATAACCGCGCATACCGATGCATTATACACACGTTATAATTCAGTAAATGCTTTCAAATGCATTTGAACACTAATGCCAGTTTGAGTTCCTAGTCGAATTACAAACCTCCAAATGTGTTGCTAGGTCTTATTAAGCACCAACACTGCTGCCCACATAGATTGGGGTATTTGCCCAAATTTGACGCTGAGATTGGTAATATTCTTTGTTTTTGTTAAATGAAAATGGGTAGAGTTTTTATTACGTCTCTGGAATTTTCCGCAATAATTAGCTAAATAGTCCAATTAATGATAAATGGTATTTTTACAATGATATCTGTTGATCCGTAAAGTTGGTAAGCAACATATTTTTCTCATTTCTAGGATATGGAGCATGGAGACAGTGGCGATAAGGTAGGACGACTCGTGTGAATTGTGAGACAGTATTATTGCGAGACAGTTATATTTTTTCACCATGTTTTGTTAGAGTAGATTAATGTTTTCAAAACGATACCAGCGCATCTTAAACAACCTTTGTATTGTCTTCACAATGTTCTTGAAGAGACGCTGCCATGGTATTTCTAATACCACCACAATTCCCAAACCATCAGTCTTTAAATACACCAATGAACAGAAGGGAACATGGTTTTTTATCCCTTCAAGTTTTTCTGTGGTAGTATTATAAACATAACAACAGTTGCGAATCGCGAAATCATTTTCTAATATTGTTTGTAAATATTGTCCTTCCAATAATTTCAGAATCGACTAAGTTCAGAGAATCCAGCTTTCCTAAATATCCACGCTGACCCAACGCCCGTGTCCAGCTCCACAGCACACGAGGATGATGTAACCAGAATGGAAAGCAACCAGTCCAAGGATGACGGCCATGCTGAACTACGCGTTTTACAAACTGAGCAGCCCCTCCGACCAGCCGACACAGATTCAGGAAATGCCAGCGATGCAGCCATGGTCGCAGTGTCAGCTGGTCCTGCAGGTGGAGTAGAAGGTCCAGAATACGCACCAGGGAATATACAGGATAAGGCGACGTCAGAGCCAGGATCATATCCTTCATCGGGCTATAAGTCCACATTGAATCGATCGAAAGCATCTCGGAGCAGCACAGGTGGTAGTGTAACGTTGGCACAGGTACCTGGTCATCTGAGTGGACATCAAGACTTGGGAGCACCCAGCAAGCCAGATGAGACAACTCCATCCTTGTTGCCAAGCAACAAACAAAGCAGAACAGCTTCAAGAGTGGAATCCCAACATGAAATCCTAGCTGAAGTTGACCAAGGTGGCTACGTGGTATACCCGGGACAAGTAGCAGCAGGTGTTAGAAACGTGGAGCAGAGGAAGAAAGACGAAGAACGGCTCACAGATGACCTTGAGTACGTACGGTGTAATGTCAGTACGGATGTCCCGAATATCCTCACAGATGACTTTGAGTACGTACGGTGTAATGTCAGTATGGATGTCCCGAATGCCTCCACAGATGACCTTGAGTACGTACGGTGTAATGTAAGTACGGATATCCCGAATGCCTCCACAGATGACCTCGAGTACGTACGGTGTAATGTAAGTACGGATGTCCCGAATATCCTCACAGATAACTTTGAGTACGTACGGTGTAATGTAAGTGCGGATGTCCCGAATGCCTCCACAGAGGACCTTGAGTACGTACGGTGTAATGTCAGTACGGATGTCCCGAATATCCTCACAGATAACTTTGAGTACGTACGGTGCAGTGCTCACAGCTCCATTGTAGGTCATGTTCAACCTGAATCAACCTGAATCGGGCGATGCTCAAAGGACTTATGGTATGAACCTTGACTATGTTCAGATCCACTAGATATTGCCTTTGACAAGAACCGTGACTACGTTTAGATCTAGACCTGCCACATATTATCTGTGGTATGAACCGTGACTATGTTCAGATCTACTAGATATTGCCTTTGACAAGAACCGTGACTACGTTTAGATCTAGACCTCCCACATATTATCTGTGGTATGAACTGTGACTATGTTTAGATCGATACCTTCTAGATATTACTTGTGGTATGAACCGTGACTTTGTTCAGACCTCATACAGATATTACTTGTGGTACATGTATGTACTGTGACTATTTTCAGATCTCCTAGATGGCAAGGGCTGTTTACCTTTACTGTTCAGATCTCAAAAAATAACTTGTGGTATGAACCATGACTGTTCAGATGTGTATGAACACTGACTGTGCAAATCCCCGAGATATGACGTGTTATATGAAAACTCGCTATATACTGACCATATGTGAATCTTGACTGTTCAGATCTCCCTGAAATTACCTGTGGTATGACCCTTGACTATATTGAGATCTCCAGTATATATTGTTGTTTGTGTGATCCCCTGGATACCACTTGTAATCTTGTTGAAATGAACCGTTACACTTTACATAACGCTGACGTCTATGGAATGTGAATGGAGGCTGTGGCTGTGTTTTTGAGTTACTGAGGTCAAAGTTACTCAGAGTTACTCAGGTTATAAGTATATTTTCTTACAGACATGGCCAAGCAAACATTGCCATTTGGGATCTATTTTCTATTAGGTCTCTCACAATGCGGCGAGTGAGTATGGTTTTATGCCGCTTTTAGCAAAAACCCAGCAATATCACGTTGAGAGACACCAGAAGTGGCCTCCACACACTGTACCCGTGAGGAATCACCCCCGCCGCCAATCGCACAATGTAGACTGCATGTCACTCAGGATCCAATCAATGTAACTGTTCACAAAGTTAGTTTTATGGCTGATACCATGTTTACCTTCCAGTAGCGTCGACATGAAGGTACAAGTCCGTTTGATTTCATTTGAGACCGTTGAAATGCTCACAAACACAAAATCTAATAATTGCAAGAAAACCAAATTTTGCACATTCACATGAAATCGACAGACCAACTCTGATGTTTGTTTTATAATTTTCGATACCCGAATAAAAAGGTTTGAAAATCTATCAACATTGTGCCGTGTCTTTTCACCTTATTTAAGAGGGTTGGGGTGGGGTGGGGCACATGCTGATAGAACAGCCAGGTAATCAACTAGCGTGTGTGGTGAATTTTCAATTTCACACGTGTAACTCGTACATCTGCCTGTTCCACCAGCAAGTGGTCCCCCAAGTCACGTCAGCGTGATACACTCTCTTATCTATGTCAAGTTTGTGATAAGTTGGATATCGAATAAAATGCAAAGCCCGGTAACTATATCCAAAGAAAACGCTCTTTTTAACTATCTATCGAAAAATATCAATCCTTAAACCTTGTAATTATCCTGTCAAAATGAATCATCTTCGACTTTAGAAAGAATAACTAAGTTAACAAAGTATACCTCTGTCATTAATTGTAATAGAGACTACTTCAGTAAGGTTTGGTCAAACTGCCATGCTCTATTCTCCTAAATACACTGTCATGCAAAACCGTGTAAATGCCCAGAATAAATAAACAAATTATTTAAAAAAGTATGTCAATTAGCAGTTGACAACTAGCCTAATTACACAGAGACAATGTAACCACCGTTAACATCTCAAACCATTTACGTGCTGGAGCCTCAACTGTTCCATATTAGATCGCATACAGATTCGGTGACAGAAAACTCTCCACAAGGCTGTATGACAAAAGTAAGATTTCAGCTTTTCAATAGTCAACTTTCCTTTCATATCTCAAAAAGTTATGTAGATATGTGAAGGACATTTCAAAATTCTATGCATCAGTGACAAAGATTATGTCCAATGCAATCCCCTATTTTGACTTTTGTTGCTGAGTTTGTTCCGAAGCACAGTTGACTAGATTTGCATATGTGTATGAAGAGTGCCACCGATGTTGCAGGATACGCTCACGTTTCCGCGAACTCCCGGTGTCATCACTGCCAGTGATTCCTAAACACAAACTCTGTCATATATCGCAAGGTGCCAATCACTGGATTGACTGGTCCAGACTCGATTGTTAAAATACAACATCGTCCAGCTGTAATACTGCTGAATGCGGCGTCATACAAAGACGTCCTCGTGACACAGTCAGAAATGTACAATCGACTCTGCTTTTGGCAAAGATTTCTGACTGGTGTGGAAAGGGTATTGCCGTTTGTAACTAAGTTCCCTAAACGAGGCTTTGGTGGGCGTTATACGATCACAGATCTTGCAAACTGCTAACTATGTTTGTTTCTATGGTGTTCCTCTCAGAAAGGAATAAGAAACCGAAAGGTCAGGAGATGGAAGGACGATGTCCTCAGCACTGAGTCAACTGGGAAAGAAACAACCTTGTGACCCAGTTGTGCTGGCACAGAACTATATGCTGCGGGTAATATCGAGGGTTAATACCTACCTCATTCTCAATGTATCGGCAAGAAAAACGTGGTTTTCCAAACAGCGAGATGGTGCAGGTTCAGCTGCTTCATTTAATGCGGATGATGATGTAGATCTATACTGCATGTATTACAGAGGAGATAGTGTAGCTCTATACTGCATGTATTACAGAGGAGATAGTGTAGCTCTATACTGCATGTATTACAGAGGCGATAGTGTAGCTGTACACTGCATATATTACAGAGGTGATAGTGTAGCTCTATACTGCATGTAATACAGAGGAGATATTGTAGCTGTATACTGCATGTATTACAGAGGTGATAGTGTAGCTCTATACTGCATGTATTACAGAGGAGATAGTGTAGCTCTATACTGCATATATTACAGAGGTGATAGTGTAGAGCTATACTGCATGTATTACAGAGGAGATAGTGTAGCTCTATACTGCATGTATTACAGAGGAGATAGTGTAGCTCTTTACTGCACCTATTAAACAGGAGATAGTGTAGCTCTATACTGCATGTATTACAGAGGAGATAGTGTAGCTCTATACTGCATGTATTACAGAGGAGATAGTGTAGCTCTATACTGCATGTATTACAGAGGAGATAGTGTAGCTCTATACTGCATGTATTACAGAGGAGATAGTGTTGCTCTATACTGCATATATTAGAGAGGAGATAGTGTAGCTGTATACTGCATGTATTACAGAGGAGATAGTGTAGCTCTATACTGCATGTATTACAGAGGAGATAGTGTAGCTGTATACTGCATGTATTACAGAGGAGATAGTGTAGCTCTATACTGCATGTATTACAGAGGAGATAGTGTAGCTCTATACTGCATATATTACAGAGGGAGACACACAGGATCCCACAGGAGACACAGTGAGACACAGAGTACACAGAGACACAGAGACACAGAGGAACCCACAGAGGACACCCACAGAGGAGACAAACCACAGAGAGACAACCACAGACACACAGAGGAAATACACAGTGCACACAGGAAACTGTGGCTGTACACAGTATGTACAGGAAAAGACACAGAGGAACCAGACAGGCCACAGACAACCCAGCACACAGAGGACAGCATTGCACACAGTGGAGAAAATGTATACTGCACATAGAGAGAAAGCTGCATATTGTATTAAGCAGAGGAGAACTAGACAGAAGTGTACACACACAGTGGCCTGTATAATACAGAGGAGAAAATTGTATTGCATGCATATAACAGAGATAAAATATGGAGGAATAAAATAAAATATATGGAGATGGAAGACATTGTGAGTGAGGAATGTATGTCTGTATATGGTAGAAAGCTGTGGTGAGTGAGAAAGGAAACAGGTGGCCATGAGGGAGAGGAAGGAAGAAATATAGAGGGAAAGGAAGGAAGGTGGCACAGTATATACAGGAGAAGGTATATATTGTGGCAGAGGAGAAAAAGGTATATTGTGGCATAGGGAGAAAGGGATATCATCCATCATATCCACAGGACCACAGAGGGACATCATCCACAGAGGAGAAAGCAGTCAGACATTGTGTGTATCACAGAGGAGAAGGTGGAAGGAGCACAGTGGCCATGTGGAGAAGGAGCTGTGGCCACAGAGGAAAGTGTGTGGCCAGTGTGGAGATGGCACCAGGATGGACCCAGGAAACCACATGCACTGTGGAGCCACGGCATGGCCACACCGTGGACAAGGTGGCCATGGAGGTGGCTGGCACTGTGGACACCCTTGTGTGGCACTGTAGGAGACACAGGACCCTGTGTGGCACCGGCACTGTGGATGGCCAGGACACGAGCCCTGTGGCCACCGAGCCCTGTGGCACTGTGGAGGTGGCACTGTGGTGGAGATTTGAGCCCCAGTGGCACAGTGGAGATAATGGAAGGTGGAGGACACAACACAGTGGAGAGGACAGTGGCACACGGAGCCCTTGTTCCAGGCTAATGACATGAAGACAACCCAGAAAGAGACCCAGCCGACACACAGAAGGACACATATAACAAAAAGGTGGACACAGTGGAATGGAAGGACCACAGAGGGAAACCCACACACAGCCTTGAAGGACCCACAATCCCAGGACATGGATCTACACACAGGTGGAGACATGGAAGGAGACAGAAGACAGGAAAATGGAAGGAAATCTGAGTGCCGAAATGAGAGACACAAATGGATCTAATGTTGGAGTGGAAGGAACACACAGCCCAGTGGTGGTGGAGCCCAGACCAACGGAAGGACACAGTATGGAGCACCGATCTGTATCTGAACTGATGACATAGGAACGGAAGGAATGGACACGGATCCCAGCACAGACAGCATAAGGAAGAAGACAATGGAGATTACCAGCAGGACAAGAGGAATGAAAAGGAAATAAAGATGGAGGAATGGTGGAGGGAAGGGAAAGGAAGGACAGAAAGAATGAATGGAATGGTAGGGAATGGAAATAATTGGAATGAAGTAATGGACATAATAATAAATTGGGAAAGGAAATATGAAGGAAATAGTGGAAAGGAGGAATATCAAAGTATAGGAATGGAAAGCCTTGACTAGACAATGGACACAGTATGAGACATTCATGCAATTGTGGATATAAAGAATGGATTGGACTAATTGATCCCAGTCCCACGAGACTGATAGATGGTGTGGTAGTTGTGGTAGTGGCAGTGGTTGTGATGGTGTGGTAGCTGTAGTAGTGGCAGTGGTTGTGATGGTGTGGTAGTTGTGGTAGTGGCAGTGGTTGTGATGGTGTGGTAGTTGTGGTAGTGGCAGTGGTTGTGATGGTGTGGTAGTTGTGGTAGTGGCAGTGGTTGTGATGGTGTGGTAGTTGTGGTAGTGATAGGGATAGTGGTTATATACGGTAGTCAACAAGCCGCAAAATCCTTTTACTTTGAAGCAGTCTTTTAAACAGCCATTAAATTTCCAATAAGCGTTTACAAAACAGTGAAACCAGTATTTACTATATGCATACATGCATATGACGAAGTCTCCAGGTTCCACAACTCAATTCTACAGACGCCTGCAGGGGGTAGTGACTCAGTGGTTCGAGTGACCGCAGCGGTCTTAGCTTAAACCAGAGTGGAAGTCGTCCACAATCTGCTTCAGAGTGCACCAAATCTCTCCGGTTTAGACATGTACCCGGCAAACATGAAACACATCACGATTTCATACGGAAACAGCGTTTCATTACGGGTTTTTTCGATAAATCTTTACTTTCATGATAACTATCGTTTTCTGGATAGCACCTTTGATACGTGTAATTCCTCAACGTGCCTTTTGTATCACAATTTATGTCACGAATAACTGCACAAATATATATAATGACTATTTATAAAGGGCTACAAACATGCGGACAACAGATTTTCAACAACAAAAACAGACTGAGTGAGCGTCTGACTGTCTGCCTGCAGTGTAACAGTCGAGACTGTATGGGGTGTGAACACCAGTAGGTGGAGCAGGATACAGCTACTTAGCCCTATTCACGAGCTGTACAGAGAAATAGTTTAACAATATCAACGCGGAATACAACAGTGGGCTTTCGGTATGTGACCCCTTATGGGAATTGCGATTCAACTCTTTAAACCCGTTTAACAGTTGCGAATCGAACCTGTGGATTATGTCAGTGCGTGGGAATTTCACCCCTAGGCGGAGGGCTGTG